GTTTGGCTAACTCAATTAAAGTATTTATAATATAAATAGGTTCTTGAGTATATTCTCTTTAGAGTTCTGCAAAGATTGACTCTTTTAAGATTCTGTATGCTATAATTGATTACTTAGCCTTCTCTAAATAATTATAATTAAACTCTTTCTTGCTATCTTAAAAAGTATAATAGGTCTTATATTTTCTAGTTACAAGTTCTATTTAGCTAACTTTGAAATAAAGATAATTATATCAATTTTTTATTTTTTTGGTATTATTTCTTTTTCTAGTATAAAATTTAAAAGCTAAAGAAAAATCTTTGTTGTTTTTTTTTCTAAGCTTTTTTAGAATTGTGTATCTAATATTAAACAGGTTTGAGTCAGAGCTATTCGAGATATTTTAAAATATTTCTTTTTATTCTTTTTTTTTAAATTTATCTAGTATACTGCTATATTATTTTTAGCAAATATAGTTAAAAGGTTTATATTTTAGTTGCTATGCTTCACTTTTAATTTCTAAAGCTGTGATTATAGATAAGGATGAAATTATTTTAGGCTTTAAAACTCAAAATTAAAAGTTAAAAATAAAATTTTTTTGACTTACTTTTACTTAAAAGACAAAATTTTTTGATACTTTTTTTAAATAGATAAAATTATAAGAAATATAATTATCTAAATTAGATTTGCTTTTTTTTATAAAAAATTTTAATTTGCTCTAATGAAGACGAAATAGACTTTTTTTGAAAACCTATTTTCGTGGTATATATAGCTGTGATAAATTCTTTGTTGTTTTGAGAAATATTTATTTATTGCTTTTAGCATTTTTTCTGGTTTATTTATTGGCTTTTTTTTTTCTTGTTATTTTGTCTATTATAATAAAAATTTTTCTATTATTATTTTATTTCAAGATCTTTCAAGAATACTATTGAGTATTTTCTTATCTTTATATTTAACTATTTTATATCTTTTTTTATATTATCTTTTATCTTTTTTTTTGCTCTGTTTTTTGTTTTGTGATTATTTTTTTTTCAATTATCTTAATTATAAATAAGAACAAAATTATTTTGGGCATTAAAATCTAAAATTAAAATTTGAAGATGAAATTGTTTTGACTTATCATTACTTAAAAAACAAAATTTTTTAATACTTTTTTTGAATAGACAAAATTATAAAAAATATAATTATATAAATTAGATTTGCTTTTTCTTATAAAAAAATTTAATTTGCTTTAGTGAAGATAAAATAGGCTATTTTTAAAAACCTATTTTTGTAGCATATATAATCTTAATTCAACTTTTAAAATCTTTTATTCAAATATTAGACCAAATATTATCTACCTTTTTATTTAGATCCTATTATTTAAATTAGCTTGTTTTATTAGATAATTAGTATACTATTGATCTTTGGGCTCAATTCTTGAGTCAATATTTTGTTTTTTTTCTTCTATTTATAATTTTGACCTATTTGATCTATTTATATTTTAAATTCTAAATAATTTGGTTTTGTTTTTTTTTTTATAGTATTCTTAATTTCTTGAATAAGATTATTTTGTTAACTGCTTAAGTTATACAGTTTATAAGCTTTTTCTAGCTTTTGTTTATCAGGTATTCATTTGCAAAAGAGTATATTTCTTTATTTCTTTTTTTACTTTTTTCTTGTTTCTCCTCTATATAATTTTTCAATAGTGATATAAATTTTTTTTATATTTTATTTAATATCTTTTTATATAAATAAATTTTATAGTAATTTAAATAATTTCTTTGTTATTTACTATATAATTTCAAGTAAAAAATAGAGTTTAAAAGTATTTTTGCCTATATTAGATTGTAGTTACTTTTTTTTTTTTTTTTTTTTTTAAGTGGTTTTGCCTTTATTCATGTGAACTACAAATAAACTTTTATACAAATAAGTTTGTATTTAAGTTCTATATATAATATTCTAGTCTAATAAAAGCTTACCAGGTAAAACCTAATATAATCTGCCATAATAACTGTTAACCTCTTGCAGAATCCTTAACTTGCTAAGGATTTTGTATCAGAATAATACTTCCCTTGATCATTAGTAGACCATTGTATACCTTCTCAGAACCACATATCTTCCTTTATAACTTTTCTCACCTAGGTCTAGGCAGAATAGTTTATCTCTTATGTTTGTATAAGAGAAGAAAATAAATACTATATTTACAAAAGAAAAGAAGATTTAGAAAAAGAAAAGAACATGTAAAAGAAAAAAAAAAATAATAATAATAATCTAAAAATAGTTCAATTATAAATGGACAAAGATGAGAAAAGCAAAAAAAAAGATTGATAATTCTAATATACTTCTAGTGGGAGACAAAAATAAAAGAAAAGAAGAAGAGAAAACAAAAGAAATATAAAAAGAAATATGCAGTGTATAGTGGCTTCGGTAGCCTAAAAAATTATATGATACTAAGTATCGAGGTCTCTATATTATTTATAACCATATGTAATCATATATATATTGTTTATTTCGGACATGTATAGAGATTAATATGTAACTTCTAGTTTCCCGATTTGGTTTGTATAAGCACTGTTGATCAATTGGAGGGGGCAAACCAAATTGCCTACTTTTTGTCAAAAAAACTTTGAAACAAAGGGAAGGATAAAAAGTAGCCAACTTGAGAAGAATAGTAAAAGTTATGCTATACAGAATACTATATCTGACAAAGTAACTACTTCTGCCGAGGCTTCTATAGTACTTAACAAAGCTTCAGAGCCTGTCTGCTACTTCTTTGCTTGGTAGTACCAGAGTCTTCTGCCAAGTGATTTCACTTTCAAAGATAACTCTTTTCAAATCTATTTTACTTATGCCAATATACAGTGAATAGCTACTGATTCCTGCCACTACTAGTGGAGTTTTGTAGTATTCAAATATATTAACTGTATAGTTTTTATAGGTTAGTCTTTTTGAAGAAGTTGGTATGAGGAATCATTGGGAAAAGTAATGTTTAGATTGTAGTTACTATTTGTGACTAAATCTATATCTTCTATATTATTATTTATTATTAATTTTTTAATTTCTAGATCTAACTATATATAGTCTATTTTTAAACAAAATTTGCTATTAGCTCATATTGCCTTGTATATACACAGGTTTATTAATAAGTAAGCTTCTATAAACTTTACTTTTTGAAACTATTTTAGAAAAAGTTTGTTGCCTATTTTGTTTTTAAATACTGGTGTAGTTGCTAAACTTGAAAAGACTTCTGGTTTAATTTCCATGTTAAAATCTTCTCTAATTAGTATTTTGGTATTAAAGTTACTTTTGGTAATATTCTCTATAAAGTATTGTTGTATTATTTTTTGTATTTGCTTATTATTTAGAAAGAAATATACAATATATAATACTAGTACTAACTTTTTTAATCTGTATACTACTTTTAGTATATAGTTGTTTTTTAATATTATTTTAGTTAAGTATATTTGCTATTTTTTCTTATATTTAAAATACTCTATAATGTTGCTACTTTATTTTTATAAAATTTGTCTCTTTTTTATTAATATTAGCTTTAGTTATTTCTATAATATCTAAATTTTCTTTAGCCTCAAGATTAATAAATTCTTAAAGCTTTATCTTATTTTTTTTCAAATTATTAATATTGTAAAATTCTATTTTTAAATATTTAAAATTCTTATCTATTATTATTTTTTCTTTTTGATATTATTCTTTATACTTTTAAGTATTTTTCAACCTTTTAGTTTGTAATTTAACTAAGGCTACTCTTAGAAGTATTGGACAATTTGCTATTCTATCTCTATAAATCTGTTTTTTATTTTATTTAAAAAATTTTACAGGTCTTTGTCTAGGTTTGAACTCTGATTTTAAGAAAAGCTAGCAATGCTTTCTTTTTTTTTATTTAATGAAAGATTTTTTAAAAGAGTTTTGCTTTCTCTTATTTACTTTGTTCTCTTTATTAGTATTGTATAGCTTATTTATTTTAGAAAAGTATTTAGTATATTTTGATTTTTTAAAGAAGCTTTAGTTTTTGTAGTCTTCTGTTTAAGTACTTGGTGCTTCTCTTTGTTGTTAGAGTTGTTTTTATTTTTTAAGCCTAGTAAATAAGTTAAAGGCTTTTTAGTACTTTTAATTGGTCAGATGTGATATTATTGTAGTTTAGTATTAAAGTAGTAAATTTCTGAATTTAGCATATATATATAATATTTTATTTGAAATATATTTTATAAGCTTTATTATAATTTTTTTTAATTTTACTAGAAATTTTTAGAGTAATAAAAATTGCTTTAAAAATTTTAAATATAAAATTTTTTTTTTAATTTTTCAAATTTTTATATGTTTTTATCTTTAAAAAATTTTTTGCTTCTAATACAAGTTTTAATTTTTATTAATAAATCATCAAAGATATAATAAAAGTTGTTATATTTTATATAAACTATAATATTATATTAAAAACTATAGATTGAAAAAACTCAACTCTCTCCGCTGATCCTCTGGTACAAAATTTGGTGAAGAAGCAACTACTATATAAAGCACCTTCTGCACTAGCAAACCTCCAAACGCACACTAAGCAAAAAGAAAGTACAGAGAAAACAAGCTACAGTATAATAGAACGTATAGGCAAAGAAACCAACTCTGATATCAACTATTAAACAAAAACCCTTTTTTTTAGAAGTTTTTGAAGAAAAAGTGAGAAATACTCTCAACTCTGTATTGCAAATAGAGATGGTAAAGTCCTTGGGTCTGGGACTCTAGGACCTGGTCTTGGGACCTAGTTTTTAAAAACTAGGTTCTAATTTTTGGACCTAAGTCCATAGATCTGCTATGGGTTCTAATTAGAGATAGTAAAGTCCAGAACTCAAACCCTGGTCTTTAAGTTCTTAAGTTAAAAAATGCTTCAAGTCCTTAAGTTCAGAATTTATGATTTTGTCTTTAAGTCCTTAAGTCCTATATTTGGACTTAGGACCAGGTCCTTAAGTCCCGAACTTAAGGACCTGGTCCTAAGTCCAAATATAGGACTTAAGGAGCTGGTCCTAAGTCCCGGACTTAAGGACCTAGTTCTAAGTCCCGAACTTAAGAACCTGGTTCTAAGTCCCAGACTTAAGAACCTGGTTCTAAGTCCTGAACTTAAGGGCATGGCTCTAAGTCCCGGACTTAAGGACCTTGTTCTAAGT